GAGGGGGGCTGGCCATGCCCTCCACGCTGGCAGTGGCAGCAACAGGACCCCCTTTTCCCCACGACCCCCCCTCCAACCCCGCTGTCTGTGCCCCCCGCAGGTCCACACCCTGACCGGGGCCTTCCTGTTCTCCCTGGAGTCTCAGACCACCATCGGCTACGGGTTCCGCTACATCAGCGAGGAGTGTCCCCTGGCCATCGTGCTGCTCATCACCCAGCTCGTCCTCACCACCATCCTCGAGATCTTCATCACCGGCACCTTCCTGGCCAAGATCGCGCGGCCCAAGAAACGCGCCGAGACCATCAAGTTCAGCCAGAACGCCGTGGTGGCCCAGCACGACGGCAAGACCTGCCTGATGATCCGCGTGGCCAACATGAGGAAGAGCCTCCTCATCGGCTGCCAGGTCACGGGGAAGCTGCTGCAGACCCACCTCACCAAGGAGGGCGAGAGCGTGCGGCTCAACCAGCTCAACGTGGACTTCCAGGTGGACACCTCGTCCGACAGCCCCTTCCTCATCCTCCCGCTCACCTTCTACCATGTGGTGGACGAGGCCAGCCCGCTGCGGGACGTGTCCCTGCGCTCGGGGGACGGGGACTTCGAGCTCGTGGTGATCCTCAGCGGCACCGTGGAGTCCACCAGCGCCACGTGCCAGGTGCGCACGTCCTACCTGCCCGAGGAGATCCTGTGGGGCTACGAGTTCACGCCGGCCATCTCGCTCTCGGCCAGCGGCAAGTACGTGGCTGACTTCAGCCTCTTCGACCGCGTGGTGAAGGTGGCGGCGCCGCCGCGGTGCCACCACGAGGCCGTGCGGTTCGGGGACCCCGAGAAGGTGAAGCTGGAGGAGTCGCTGCGGGAGGCGGAGCGGGAAGGGGAGGGGGCCCCGCTCAGCGTCCGCATCAGCAACGTCTGACGGGGGCACCGGCCCGGGGTGGCACCGATGGATGGAGATGGCACCGGCAGCTAGAGGTGACACCAGTCCTGGCGTGGCACTGATGGCTGGAGGTGACACCGACAGCTGGAGGTGGCACTGATGGATGGAGGTGACACTGGTGGATGGAAGTGACCCCAGGAACTGGAGGGAACACTGGCCCCAGGGTGGCACTGACAGCTGGAGGTGACACCAGGAACTGGAGGTGACATGGGACTGCTGAAGGTGACACTGATATCTGGAGGTGACACTGATGGAGGTAGCACTGACGGCTGGAGGTGACACCGACAATCTGGAGGTGGCACCAGCACCTGGAGGTGTCACCACAGCTGGAGATGTCACCAAGTCTGGAGCTGTCGCCAAGGACTGGAGGTTCCACCAGTCCCAAGGTGACACCGGTAACTGGGGGTGTCACCAGCCTGAAGGTGCCACCAACTCCTGGAAGTGCCACCAGCACCTGGAGGTGCCACCAATGCCTGGAACTGCCACCAGGCCCTGGAGGCGTCACCAACACTTGAAGTTGCCACCAACACTGGAGATGCCACAAGTCCCCCAAGGTGTCACCAGTTTCAAGGTGTCACCAACACCTGGAGGTGCCACCAACACCTGGAAGTGTCGCCAGCCCCAAGATGCCACCAGCCTTGAGGTGCCACCAACATCTAGAGGTGTCCCCAGCCCCTGGAGGTGCCACCAGCCCGGGGGGGCCGCAAGACCCCCCCCCTCCTCCAGAGGGGAAAGTGAGGCAGGAGAACCCCCCCCCATCCCCACCCCCTCCCCCCTCAAACGCTGGAGCCCCTCCCCTTGCCGCCCCTCCCCCACTCCGGGTGGGCTCGGGGGTCCCCCTGGGGTGTCACCGATAATCGTGTCCACCCCCTGGGCTGGGGGTCCCCCCCCCCCCGCCCGTCGCTGCTGTTTAACTTAGACCCTGCAATTAACGAGGCCCGCGGGTCATTAGAGCCACTAATTACAGATGTCAGTAAGGAGGGAAGACCCCGCCCCCCCCCAAACTGCCCCCCCTTTCCTTCCCCCCCCCACCCCGCGGCTGGGAGACCCCCCCGGGGGGCTCGTCCTCGGTCTGGGGGGAGCAAAGGGGGGTCGGTACTAAATAAAGGAGATGCTGATGGTGGGGAGGGGCTGCTCCTGTCAGGGGGAGGGGGGGCTGATGTCTCCTGGGGGTCCCTGATGTCATCAGGGATCCCCCATGCCCACAGGGACCCCCCAACATCTTCAGAGACCCCCCAGTGTCCCCTTGACACACCCCTCAATGTCCCCTGAGACACCCCTATGGTCCCCCCAGCCCCCAGGGACCCCCCAATATCCTCCCGAGACACCCCCCCAGGTGAGCAGCACTGGGTAAAGGACAGGGGTTTATTTCCAGGCCCCCCCCAGTCCGGGGGGGCAACTGGGACCAGTTACAGCAGCTCCGGCCCCCCCAGAGCCCCCCCGGGGGGGACAAAGGGGGGATGAGGGGGGGCAAAGGGGGGGACATGAAGGGGGACAAGGAGGGGGCCAAAGGCACACGAGGAGGGGGGACACAAAGGGGGGGCAAGGGACAGCCCCCAGAATTCAGGGGCAGCTGCGAAGGCACCGGGGAGGCTTTACAAAAATAACCCTTTAAAATCGCGCGGGAATTCCGGGAATTGGGAAAATCCGGCCGGGGGAGGGGCCGGGGGGGGGAAGGGGCAGCGGCGTCACACCAGGAACGAGGAGGTTTGTTTGAACTCGCCCTGCGGGGACAGAGGGGACGTCAGGGGACAGCATGGGGACATCAATGGGGACATCAGGGGGACATTATGGGGACATCAATGGGGACATCATGGGGACATTATGGGGACATTATGGGGACATCAATGGGGACATCATGGGGATATAAGGGGGACATTGTGGCGATATCATGGGGACATCAATGGGGACATCAATGGGGACATCAGGGGGACATTATGAGGATATAAGGGGGACATTATGGGGATATAAGGGGGACATTATGGGGACATCATGGGGACATTATGGGGACATCAATGGGGACATCATGGGGATATAAGGGGGACATCAGGAGGACATCAATGGGAGGACATCAATGGGAGGACATCAATGGGGACATCATGGGGATATAAGGGGGACATTATGGGGACATCATGGGGACATCAATGGGGACATTATGGGGACATCAGTGGGGACATTATGGGGACACCTGGGAGGACATTATGGGAACATTGATGGGGACACTGAGGGGACATTATGGGGACAATGATGGGGACACCAGAGGGGGGACATTAATGGGGACACTGAAGGGACACCAAGGGGACACCCAGGGGACATTGATGGGGACATGAGGAACATTAAATGGGGACATTGATGGGGACATGGGGACATCAGTGGGGACAGGAGACATCAACAAGGTACGTGTCCCGTGTCCCCACACCCACCTCGCTGCGCCTGGAGGGTTGGCTGTAAATCACCTTCTTTCCACCAGAACTGTGGGAATATCAGGATCAGGATGTGCCCTCCCCACCCCCCCCACCCCAGTCACCACCTGGGGACACCCAGGGGACCGGGGCAGGGAGGGGACACTTTGGGGACACCTGGATGGGGGTGGGACCATCCCAAAGAGGAGGAGGGGGTGGCAGCTCCGGCATCACTTACTCTGTTTTCTCTGGAATAAAGGGAAAAAGTGGGATCAGCGGGGGCACCACGGTGGGGGGACAGGGAGGAGGGGACACCTGGGGACACTTGGGGACACTCACTGCTGAAGTAGCCGCGCCTGTGAGCGAACCAGAGCCCAAAGGCGGCGAGTGCCAGGACCAGCAGGAGCAGCACCACGGCGGCCACGATCCCACCCACGTTCACCTCGCCTGGAAAACCGGGATCAGAGAGAGCCCTGCGGGGTGGGGGGAGGATCCCAACCCCGGACAGGGGGAATTCCGGCGTTCCCAGCTCAAATCAGGGCTGGGATGGAGATGGGATGCGGGTGGGGAGTGATGGGTTCAGACAGAGGGGGGCTGGATCCCGCAGGAAAGTGGGGATTCTGGAGTTCTGGCTCAAAAAGGGGCTGGGATGGAGGTGGGATGAAGCTGGAGGGGTTGGATCCTGGCAGGGAGGGGGATCCTGGGGGGAATCTTGGAATTCCCAGCTCCAGACGGGGCCGGGATCGAGGTTGGATCCATCGGGAATGGGGTTAAATCCAGCTGGAGCGGGAGGGTTGGATGGATCCCAGCATGGGGGTGCAGGGGATCCCAGTAGGAATCCTGGGAATTCTGGGCTCCAAGGACGGCTGGGATTGAGCCTGGCTCTAACTCCAAGCGGGTGAGGTTTAGCGTTCCCAAAGGCGCCATTCCCGCTATCCCAGGAGACCACAGTGGGCTCATTAACGCAATTAACGCCCACGGGAGATGATAACGGACAGGGGAACCTCAAAACCACCTGGAAAAGGGCGGGGCCGGGTGGGATTGGGGCGGGATCGGGAGCCGCTCCGGCCTTACTCGCTTCCATGCGGAAAACGTCGGATTTCTGGGGGGATCCCACATTGTTGGAGGCCTCGCAGTGATAATCACCCGTGTCCGAGCCCCCCACGGGCTCAAAGATCTGGAACGAGGGAGGGAATGAGGGAAAAGGGGGGGGAAAAAAGGGGGGAAAACTGGGGGGGAAATGGGAATAGGGGGAAATACGGCAAAAAGGAGGAAGGGGGATGGAGGAAAAGGGGAAAAGGAAGGAAAAGGAGAGAAAAGGGTGAGGAAAAGGGGAAAGGAAAATGGAGAGGAAAAGAGGGGATAAAGGGGGAAGGGGGGGGAAAAGGATAGGGAAAAGGGAGAAGGAAAAAGGGAGAGAAAGGCAGGAAAAAAGGGCAGGGAAAAGCCCCCTCCCCCTGTCTCCCCCACTGACCAGCTCCCCCGTGCGGGGGTCGAGGCTGTAGGAGGAGTTGCGGAAGGTGGGGCTGGATTTGGGGTCCTGGGGCAGC